CACTTCAACCTGCCGGCCGGCACCCAGCATGCAGCACGTGAAAGTCTAGTTGCTTGAGTGGAGGGTCAGAGGCGGCATGAGGGTGCGCGTCAACCCGGCCGTCCTCCAGCAGCCAAGACACCACCGAATTTTTGTGCGCGCTCAGTCCGCGCGAGCTGACGCGCGTCACACCGCATGCATACGACGACACCACGCTGCGCAAAAGATCGCTGTCCGCATCACGTGCATCACTGCTCACATCACGCGGTCACGAAAACCAGCACGCTGCTCGCAAGTTTGTCGAGCTTGCAGACCCGCCGCTCAGGAACCAGCCGCAGCCGCAGCCGCTGCCCCGCGCCAGGCGCTCGCCACCAGCTCGTACGCACACGTCTTCGTTGTCTACGTTTCACTACAAAAGTCCTGCGCGGAGCACATGACGTGGGGCACGCAGCCTGCATCATGCCCAAGCGCCCCCTGCAGACCACTGCCCAACGCGTCACCTGCACCTCGCCTGAGCTGAGCACTGTTGCTGAGCACTGTTGCTCAACCCTCCCCCCCCCAGCGCCCCTGCTGAGCACTGCCCAGCGCCCTTGCTGAGCACTGCGCAGCACCCCCGCTGAGCACTGCGCAGCACCCCTCAGCCGAGCGGCGCACCGCCTCCTGCCAAGCACGTCCCTCCCGCCGACCAGCCTCGCCTGAACGCCGTACGCCATGTGACCCCCCCCCCCCCCCCCCCGGTTGGCGGAGGCGCCCTTGCCTGACGCTGTACACCACGTGCCCCCTCCCCCCCCCCGCCCCCCCGTTGGCGGAGGCGCCCTTGCCGTTCAGAGGTCAACTACATGCGACGACCCTGCAAAGGTTGCGTGGCGCTCGCGCGCCGGCGCACGCCTGCTGCGCACCGCCCAGCATCACTGCCGAGCGCCTGACCGAAGCTGGGCGCTCTGGCCCGCCCGGCCCAGCGCCCCCCGGCTGCGCAATGCTGAGCGCGCGCCGCCTGACGTCGTGCGCCGCGAGAAAGCGGCGCACGGTCGACGACTACTACACGTCACCCGCTTCGCTACTGCACGGTGACCGTGCACGGATCGCGTCGAGCAAGGCGCGCGCGGCGGCCTGCGCGTGTGCCGCGGCGCGCCCCCCTCCGAGCGCTGCTGCCTCACCTGACGTCGTACGCCGCGTAGAACCCCGCCGCGGCGACGCAGTACGCGTCCCCCAGCAGCAGGTTGTGCAGGTTGGCGCCGCCCACGTTGGTCGCGCCGTCCAGCGTCAGCAGCCCCACGCCGCCGAACGCCATGGCCACCGCCGCCCACAGCTGCGGCTTGAGGCGCACGCCCATCGCCGCCTGCGCCAGGGGCACCTGGGGCGAGGGGGGGCATGGGGGGGGGGGGGGGGAGGGGGGCGCGTATGAAAGGTTTGAGAACCCCCGCTTTCTTCTCGTTGACCGATGAGCATGAAAACCAATGCATGAGTATCGCGAAGCCTGATGAGCACAAGCACCATGTGTGTTTATTGCAAAGCCGGTCTTGACGCCAGGAACTGCGTGCGGTGCCATGCTGGGCTGCGCCTCGGGGCCGCCGAAATGAGCGCACCGAGTGTGAGGCGCGCACTGCGCTTCGCGTGCCCCCGCAGGCCATTCCCTGCAGTTGGCTTTGGCACCGTGTTGCGGACGCTGTCGATGCGCAGCAACAAGCAAACTTCCCCGCCCCCACAAGCTGGGCGCAGGCCGCAGCCAGCATTATGGAAGCGTCAGGCGCACGCATCAGCAGCGGGTTCAGTCCCCTTCCCCCCCCCCCCCAAAAACCCGGTACCCTCACAGGTCGTCCATCGATCGCCGCGCGCGTAAAATCGAAGCACCGCGCGCTCGCGAGCCGCAGCCGCCGTGCAGCACGCATCACATCCCGCGCACACGCGCCACGACCGCCGCCACTACGCCCTCACCATGATCGTCGTCAGCTGGATGCAGAACGCCGCCTGGCTCGACAGCGTGAGGCTGATGCCGAGGAGGTTGAGACCGACCCCCATGAACTTGTACGTGCCCAGCTCCAGCCCCGCCCTCTGCGCCTCGGTGTCGCGCAGGAACGACGGCCCCGCCGTAGCGTCGTCGTACGCCGCATCAGCGCTCAGCCCTGAGGCGCGCTGCTGCTGCTGCTGCCGCTGCTGCTGCGCCGCCTGCAGCGCGGCCGCGCCGAGCACGGTGAGCAGCGCGGCGGCGGCGCTGCCGGCGTTGAGCACGGCGATCGGCGGCGGGTGCTCCACCGTGTTGAAGCAGTAGCGCACGAGCGGCGTCTGCAGCGCCCAGCACCAGACGCAGATCATGAGCGTCGCGAGGCTCGTGATGTCTGAGGGGGCAGGGGGCGGGGGGGGGGGGGGGGGGGGGCAGAGGGGTGAGAGGAAGAGACGCGCGCTGGCCGTGAGCTGCGATGACGTGCGCGCGCTGAACTTGGTAGATGGTGGATGACTGTGTGGTGCAGCTGGCCGTTGGCACCAGGCGTGGATGGGGAGGAGTGCCTGCACTGCAGGGCGACTGCAAACTGCCACAACAGGCGATGTGCTGCACGTACTGTACTGTGATTGCACAACGCTGCGCGTTCGATTGTATGACATTACCAGCGGACTTGAAGTGCGCACTCGCGACCTGCACGTGTGTCATGGTGTTGTAACGCTGCTGCAGAGTGGTGGCTTCATTTGCGGAAACGCAACTGCATGATAGGCACGTGGTGAGTGCAGGCTCAAGAAGCAGACTGTGCTGCTGCGATTACTTCATGTAGGTTGTCAGAGATGCTGCTGGGCTCTGATCAGAGAGACAGGGGAAATAATGTCGGCGAGTTGACTTGACGTCCGACATCGAAGTGCGAACCAGACGTGATCATCCAAACATCGCAATGCAAACAAGACACAGGACGTGATCATCCAAGCATTCGAAGACAAACTGAAACACGAGACAGCTAGCGATGCCGCTGACGACACACTGCTCATACGTGCCGACTCGCGGGCATCGAATAGCGTCGCAGAGAGGCGACGTTGTGTCTTCACTTACAGGCCTGAGATGTGTCCGGCGGCGCCACATCATTGTCAGCCGCGGCGGCGCGCAGCGGCGTCACGGAATACGGCCTCTGTGTCACCACCCGAAAGCTTCCGCCATGCCGTGCAACACTGGCGTCGAGGTGGTTGCGGTGGCCGCCCCCCAGAACACGAACAGGAGTAAATATGGCGGGCTGCGTGCTGTGCGCGGCGGGTAGAGTAAAGCCATGCGCAGGCAACGACTGCAACAGTACCAGTGCTGCCGCTGCAGACGCCTTCATGGCAGGAGACCGCATCGCTGTCGCGCGCTAGGCGAATGTGTTTTACTCGACCAAGTGAACCCTGCGAAGGTGTTCATCAGAGACGGACGACATTTTCAGGGCCTTGAAGTTTGTGGATATGAAGTTGGAGGTGAAATCACATGTGTGAGCCTGTGTGGGGCAAACATGATGTGACAAAAATGATGTGCTGCTTGCTTGCAATGCGTATGCAGCGTACAACAAAAATATTCACTGATGCAACGGCAATGACGCAGGAGCAAACGACCATAATTCCCAGCGGTGCATCAGTGACACTTGAGGCAGTAAATGCATCGTCTGCATTGTAAAGATGTGGCATTTTCAGGGCCTTGAAGTTTGCGGATTTGAAGTTGGAGGTGAATCTGTGTGAGCCTGTGTGTGGGGCAAACATGATGTGACGAAAATGATGTGCTGCTTGCTTCCAATGCGCATGCAGTGTTCACCAAAAATATTCACTGATGCAACGGCAATGCCGCAGGAGCACATGACCAGAATTCCCAGCGGTGCATCAGTGACACTTGAGAGGCGGCAAATGGGACTGCATCATCTGCATTGTACAGGCAGCGTCCCAAGCTCGTTAACGCCGAAAGGCGTGGCAGCGAATGCGGCTGGTTTGGTGGGTGGGCTGGGCTGCAGGGCTTGCAGGAGCTAGCACCAGCGGCCCCCAGGTGATGCCAGCGTGCGTAGCCCCTTCGAGAGAACTTCAAACGTGTGGTGGTGTCTCGGAAGCCCTGGCTGGCGTGCGGAGGAGGGACAGGGAGCGGCTTGGCGTGCTTGGAGAGCAAGCGGAGTCGGCTGCACGCCACGGCACCAACCACAAGTTACTCGCAGCGGTAAATGGCAATATCTTGTCAGGCTTGCAGCCTGCGGTGAGCCGTGACCTCGCTCATCAAGGAGGCGATGCTTTACTTAGTTATATAGCCTTTCTCTCTAGCGTCAGCGCCTGGCGCCCAGTGACTCCCTCTGCTTATCTCTATGATATCGGGGTTCACGTAGATAGCCACAATCTCCAGTTCAGGGCCCATCATGGTGACCTTGGCCTGCATGAAAACTTTGAGATGGAGTCTGCGTGGAGCTGGGTGGCCCTTAGAAGGGTCTGTCTGTGGGGGGAGAGTCTTGCAGCTTTGTTTGGTATCCCTGCTAGTGTGTGGGGGACAGTCGCTTGCGGATGCTTTGTTGGGGGTGATATGGGAGGCCCGGTGAACCACCGTCCCGCTCATCAAGGAGGCGATGCTTTGCTTAGTTATATAGCCTTTCTTTCTAGCGTCAGCGCCTGGCGCCCAGTGACTCCCTCTGCTTATCTTTATGATATCGGGGTTCACGTAGATAGCCACAATCTCCAGTTCAGGGCCCATTATGGTGACCTTGGCCTGCATGAAAACTTTGAGATGGAGTCTGCGTGGAGCTGGGTGGCCCTAAGACGGGTCTGTCTGTGGGGGGAGAGTCTTGTAGCTTTGTTTGGTATCCCTGCTAGTATGTGGGGGACAGTCGCTTGCGGGTGCTTTGTTGGGGGTGATGTGGGGGGCGGGGTGTGGCGTGCAAGCTTTGCATGCTACATCCAAGAGTGAGAACAAGGCGACACACCTACAACATGGCATTTCCACAGCCACAAGTGGAATATAATAAAAGTACAGATGTGGTGCAGGGTCTCTTTGCTTTCAAAAGCAGCTTTGAAAAGCTCTCTGAACGTGAAAAAGAATGGGCCTCCGAATCGGGGAATCGAACCCCGGCCGTCTCAGCGACAATGAGAAATCCTGCCACTGGACCAATTCGGACCGATGAGGAGAGGGTCGGTTGCATACATTCTAGTGCTGAGCCGCTGTCACAACGCGCAGCGCCCCCAAAGCAACAGATGTCTGTAGGCCTAGCTGTCTGTAGGCCGTGCACTGTCCTTTGCAGCACGTTATTGAATCACGCTGTCCGACAAAGCAAAGTAGGCACGTCTGCGTTGATCGTCGCGAGCGCAAACAGGACTGCAGTTCGACTACTCAGAGCCACAACGCTGAGCAGCAAGACACAATGGGCCTCGAGGTGAAGCCACAAAACCTGATCAACACTACCAACAAGGCAATGACGACCGGCAAAACACACGCAACCACGAAACAGGGCGAAACCGCAACCTACTTCAAAAACGCCTACGACCAACTGGATGACTGCAAAATCCAGGAGGACGACAATGAGCAGGTGAGTAGTGGCGGTGCCCAACGATGGCCAGCCACTCAGCAAGGCATCGGATTGCGTGCACACACTTCACGAACACGACTTGATGACCCTATGCACTGTTCTGTCCCATGCCATTAACGATGCAGGTGCTGAATCAGATGGTGGTGTGGGCGCTTCTGGCTTTCGCGACGGCGCGCAATGTCAGAATCAGCGCCGCGCAGTGATGGACAAGTATGCAGCATACAAGTCTATGTTGCGTGCTCTGCCAGCGCTGGCAGCTGCTGAAGCTAAGTCAACAGTGCCGTTGTCAGCAGCAGTAGACTTCCAGCATCTCGATCCAGCATCATTCAGCGTTACGTAAATACGTTATTCATGCACATAATGGAGAGAGGCAAAATGAATGGGTTATGGGCATGCATAAACTGCAAGCAGCTGTCTCTGCACACCCGGTCCGGCGGTTCATGTGCAACTGGTTTGATGTAGAGCACATGGATAGCCCCGCCTGATCCGAAAGATGAACCTTGGAATCACATACGGCACTTGAACACGTTACAGATTTCTGTGTAGCCTCGCCGTGTTGCACTGTTGCTTCAATCGGGTCCATCGACGCAGACAGTGACTGACTGAAGTCACGCTTCGGCATTGTAAAGCTCAGTTGCATGAATGTGAGCGCGGATGGGCTCAGCACTGATATCAGCGTTATGAGTGGAATGAGATCCCCGGCTGATCGTCTGAGCTGCATACCTGTGCCGGCACTTCCACTTCTGTGTTGCACGTCTTCCAGCGGCTGGCTGTGTGCGTGGGCTTCATTGCAGCATTACGTGGGGAGCTGTAGTAGATTTAACAGACAAGCAGTTTCAAAAGCTGGCGTTCATGATCATGCTTACGTTTCACATACACCTACAGCCTTGCATGCAGTTTGTCAACCCTCAATTTGCAGTGACTCATTTTGCTCTTGCCGCTTGCTGCCCTGTGCTCTGCGTGCACACAGATGTGACCCACATGGCATAATAGACGCTGCTACTCCGAGGGCTAGTTGGTCATGGAATACATCGTTCAACTGGATCACAGGGGACTCATCATGGCAATGTACATAGTGTACACCTTACTTGCGAGGTATGTTTCTGTGACTGGGTGGTTGCCATACGTACATGCATTCTGTCGACTGTCGCACCATGATGTGAATATGGAGCAGTTCTGATGCATATGGAAGAATCGTGGCATCTTTTTGAAATGTTGCTCTTGAAAGTTTTTGTACCAGTGCGGAATTCTTAATTCGCAAAACTTTGGCCCTGCCTGTGGGAGTCACTCCGCTAGCATGTGTTCTGCTCAATGGATTCACCTATAACAAATGAACACTCCACATTGTTTGCCCTTGCGGTGCCATTCCCAGCTGCTCTGCGCTCTTTGCTGCTATGCTTTCAATGCATTGACAACGATGTGCGTCTGCACAAAGCCAGCCTAGGTAGAGTGTATACTCGGCAGCGTGGATGGCATTTGCAGAATTACATGGTGCCTCCCATCACCTCATTTGCATACAAAACTGTGTTTGCAGCGAGCGTACTTTGTGATGCAGTAGCCCGCATGTGGAATCACAGCTCCAAGCTGGCTGCAGCAGTGGCAGTAACTTTGCAAATAGGTACATGCAAGGGCAGACTCAGGGACGTGACGCACGTGCTTCGGTGCAGCAGTGAGCTGAGATATCAGACGTCCACAGCACCACTGGCATGCGCAAAGCCCAGGATGCGCTGCCTGAACCGCCCACCCCACAGCCCGCCGCTCTGCAGTCTACAACATCAAATCTGTGCATCATGTGCTGAAGTGTAATGCGCACATGCAGCAGTTCCCTTCTATCCCTGAGCGCTGAGGCACTGCAGCACTGCTCAGTGATTTTGCCCCCCTGTATTTGCACGCTGGAGACGGGCCGGGCGAATCCTCCCGAAAGCAAATTCTTCCGCAGAAGAACACTCCGTGCTCAAATGACATCATGCATCTGTGCTGGCTTTGTGAGTGTGCTATTCTTTGCCGCGGTGCTGTGTCGCCGAGCTTCGTTGTGCTGCAGCTACCAAAGCACTCAACAACGGCCTTCATCTGGACAGGCGGACGCGGACACAGGTGCGTGGCTCTTTGCTGCAGATGAGTGCCAACGCACGCCACGCACTCACGTAACGGAGCTGACACATGTTTCTGTTTGCCTGATGCTCTGCAGAACCACACACCACTCACAGCTACAGCGGCATCAGCATCACAAATACCTACTGACAAGTAGCATCAAGGCACAGACAGGAGCACCTGCTCACCACAGCACACACACACTTGAGCAGCACAGGTGAGCTTTTTGCAAAGCGCGCTCAGCTTGGGTCTGCATGCTTTTGCCTCTGCACAGTGAAAGTATTTGCCAGGTCGGCGTAACGCTATTGTATGTCAGGCGTGGCAGCGACTTTGCAGGCTGCGGTACTGCATTAGCGGCATCGTGAATGCGGAACTTCACATTATGTTGATATAGCATTTTCGTTTTCCGCGACCTGTGTTGTGGAGGTGCCTTTGTTTCTTGCCGACACTCGCAGCAGCTTCGTCGCAATGGGACTGGTAGTCCAAAGTGCTGGCTATATGTACTGACTCATGGAAACTTCGCAACTGTTCCTGGCACACATGCGCATGATCACAGATTCATGTGCAGCATCCGTTCTGACATACTTCTGACATACACGCGACGTTGATGACATGGCGTGCTCACCACAAGTTACCTGCTTACCTTCCTGCTGCCTTCACAGACCAACACAGGTCTCAACTAAGCCTTCTGACAGCGTTGAGCAGCGACTCCACCACCTGACCACTCGCCACTGCAGCAGCAGAGCAGGCAGGCAGCAGCAACAGCAGCCTAACCACCAGCCACACAAAAGCAGCCACCTCCACCACCACGGCCACTAGCCGCAACAGCAGCACCAGCAAGCGACTCACAACGCGCACTCAGGGCACCACCCCGCTCAGCAGCAGCACCACTACCGCCACCGCCACCATCACCCTCACGCCCATGGTGCGCTACGAGCAGCCCGAGACGCTGCACGAGATAGACACGTCGTCCGACCCGGCGTACGCGTCCGACAGCATGGCGAGCACGCTGTCGCCCGGCAGCACTGCCTCATCGGATGACAGCGGCGAGCCCGCGGCGTTCGCGGAGGCGACCCCCGCCGATAGCGGCCACAAAACCGTCCTCGTCACCGGCGGCGCGGGCTTCGTCGGTGGCGCCGTCGCGGAGGCGCTGCTCGCACGCGGCGACGACGTCCTCATTGTCGACGAGGTCAACGACTACTACGACGTGCGCGTGAAGCGCGCGAGCCTCGCGGCGCTCGTCGCGCGCTACGGCGCGGCGCGCGTGCGCATTTTCGAGGGCGACGTCGCGGACGCCGCCTTCATGGGCGCGCTCTTCGCGGCGCACGCGCCGCAGTGGATCGTGCACATGGCCGCGCGCGCGGGCGTGCGGCCAAGCATCCAGGACCCCTTCGTCTACGTGCACAGCAACGTGCTCGGGACGACGCGCCTGCTCGAGCTCGCGGCGCGGCACGGCTGCCGCAGCTTCGCGTTCGCGTCGTCGAGCAGCGTGTACGGTGAGGGCGCGGCGGAGGTCTTCAGCGAGGACGACGCCGTAGACGCGCCCGTGTCCCCGTACGCCGCGACCAAGAAGGCGTGCGAGCTCATGGCGCACACGTACGCGCACCTGTACGGGCTCAACGTCGCCGCGCTGCGCTTCTTCACAGTCTACGGCCCGCGCGGGCGCCCCGACATGGCGCCGTACAAGTTCATCGCGGCGGTGTGCGCGGGGCGCGAGATACAGCAGTACGGCGACGGCTCCACCTCGCGCGACTACACGTACATTGAGGACATTGTCGACGGCGTCGTGCGCGCGCTTGACCGCCCACTCGGCTACCAGGTGTACAACCTCGGGCGCGGCGAGCCGACGCGCCTGTCGCGCTTCATCGGCATCGTGGAGCGCTGCGTGGGGCGCGCGGCGGTGATCCGCGTGTGCCCCGAGCAGCCGGGGGATGTCCCGCGCACGTGCGCGGACATCTCCAAGGCGCGCCGCCTGCTTGGCTACGAGCCGCGCGTGTCGTTCGAGGAGGGCATCGCGCGCACCGTCGCATGGTACAAGGAGACGTACATGGCGGAGGAGGGGCTGCCGCAGCAGCCGCAGCAGCAACAGGAGGTGGAGCAGCAGGCGGCGGCGGCGGCGGCGACGGCGCTCATGACCGCGGCGGCGGCAAAAGCGCAGGCCCTGACGGCGCTGCCGCCGGCCGCCGTTGTCGTCGTGGAGCCGCACGCCCCCACAGCCATGGTCCTGTAGTGCAGCGGCGATGTTGCATCGCCAGCGCAGTCTGTAGATCTAATAGCGGAGCGTTGGTAGCAGGGATAGGGTTTTAAAGACGGGCGATGGTCCCGCAATTTTCAAGGGGGCGGCTTTCCTCCTCCCCCCCCCTCTCCCTCCCCGCCCCCCCCCCCCCCCTCGTTTCACTCCACGTTTCAGAGTGGCAGCTGCACTTGGCGAGCGCCATCGGCTTTTTTGTAGGCTGTACATAGGAGAAGCAGACTGCCCCTTTTTGTCACGGCGCGCATG